TTTTTTTGAGCTATGAGTGAAGCAGAGGATCGTTTTGGCCAAATCATTGCAGGAGCAATAATGGGAATGGTAAGCGACACTAGTTCTTTAGAATTACTCTAAGTAATATGATTATTATGCAGATTGGCATCTTTGGCGTATTTACCAATTTTATCGTTGTTTTCCTTATTTATCGCACACCTTCATTTCACAATGCGTTCGGGTACATTTGCGCTTCACATTTACTAGCCGATGTTGGAATATTGTCAGCGTTTCTATTCTGGGCAACTCCTGCTTCTTTGATGTACGTTGGTACTTCCTGCATTTAGTGTGACTAATAAAAAATTTGATTTGCTTTTTATTAGGGGATTCTCACAATCACTTACGGATTCGCTGGTTGGAAAGAGGGTAGGGCAATTTTCAATGCTGTTTTGGTATGCTTCTATGTATGGTCAACTGCAGCTAGCAGTGAACCGTTTATTAGCTATCGTTACCCCTATCCTTTATGGGTGAGTCATTACTTTTTTTTCTTTATGAAGCGATACTTCTAAATGTAGGAGCTTTCTCTTTTCATAAGTGCTTTATTCTAAATGTAAATATAGATAAAAGATTAGCATAGATTCGAACTTATATGTCAGACATTATATGTTATTATTTTGTTATAAGCTTGAAATTTCTAAACGTTTAATCTGCACCAGGACTTATATGTAAGAACATGATAGTTGCTCTTTTCTGTGTGGCCCATCCCTCAATCTAGAAACTTTCCTCTGTCAGCTAACACTATTTTCAAATTTGTGGTCCAGATTTGCTAAATGGGTACAAGAAGAGTTAATGTACTTTCTCTGTGTGTTTCATTCATGCATGTTGAAGATAAGAAGCACTGCTTCAACAAAAGGTCAACTTGGCAAGTAGATAGGTCTCCTTATTAAGCAGACGGCAGGGATCTGAACCTTAGTCGCGCGACTTTCACATTCTTGATTTTTTACTCTGGATTTGTTAAGTTCACGCAGTTAAATTGAAATCTTCTTGCTTAATTCAGCATTTCCTGTTTGTTGGAAGGTTTTTGGGAGTTTTGTTTGGCATAAATTCACAGGCAAAACCTTCTTTAACCTCTCCCGCTGAAACTTCGTCCAAAGATATTATTTAACTCATCAAACGATAATCTGTTCTGAACTAGGGCACATAGTAACAAATTGTTGTACACTTACTAAGAAATAGGGAGTATTTTGCTGGAAGTTTAGCTATATCTATTGTTTGTCCGCATTTCAAACCGTTCAGTGCACTGCGGGCTCAAAAATTTGTCTTCTCTGTTTGTATATTAAAGATTTCCTGGCGCAAGTTATACCCGGCCATATAGACGCGATACTTGGAAGACCGCAAGT